GCAATACCTTTATTGAAAAATCCTAATAGCCTACTTGGGTTGACTGAACACACTATTGCATTGACTCATATTTTTGTTTTGCTGTCTGCTCTCCCTGCCTACCTAAACTATAAATCCATGTGAATATCTGTCTGCTAAATGTATTAATGTAACTTTACAGTATGATGTCCTTTAGCATAAAGTATTCTGACATGATAATAATGGGGTGCTCCTAATAGCCTAACAGTTGCTAGCAGTTTAATACTCAGCTAAGTTAACAGACAAAACTATAGTGACTAAGGGATTATATTTGGGGATCCGTGGCATTAATTGTTGGACAGCGTGTTCTCTCTTTTACACACACAAAGACTTTATCAATAAAATAGTTTTGGGAAAGCCGGTCATATGCGAGTAATTCACATTCACGCGCTCTCTTCTGCTCTCTCTCTCTCTTCAGTAACTGCACACGGCTCATTCCTCTGTTAGATCTAAATTTTATGTAACGGAGGCTCGGGGTGTTAGTAAAAATATTCGAAAGTAATTGTTTCACGTCGTGGCCGCACTATCATATTGGGCTTCCTTTTTCGATAGGCTACTAACGAGAGAATGTCTCCACTCAAATCCGTGCACTCACTACCATATTTCCTTACGGCGTGTATCCACTGTTGCAGCACGAGAACTGCGCTCAGTGCGGCTCTAAACACCAAGCGCGAGCGGCAATGAGCGGCGTTGAATGACAGAAGTGATATTGCACCAATTACAAAGAATCACGAATTTCACACAGCAGTATGGGACACCATTAAAGGGGAAGCTACATGACAGTAGATTACGGACTTGCGAAGCAACAAAACAAGTGGGTATACCGAGGGTATACGCAAATATTGATCCTTAGAAGTCGTAATACGCAAACATCCCGGGGGAAAAAGTAAGCATACGGCGTATACTTGCCCCGACTACACCACTGATGCTAAATTATCTCAAAATAACTATCTCAGCAAGTATTTTCATGTCTTAAATGAACGTAAGTGGAGAAATAAATCGCACGTGCATTATATTGGATCCATGCATTCGGTCTTAAAGGGGCAGCAGCCTATAAATACCTGCTGTTTAAGCGCCACCTGCTGTCAGAGAGTGACATTTGCGTCTCATTCAGCCAGTCTGCTGTTTTTGTTTCGTTCAGATTTTTTTAGTATCACAAAGCTAAAGTCATACCTTTTTGTTTCAAATTTCAAAATGTTACAATCTAAATAACATGTGTGCAGCATCTTTGTTTGGATCGTGATTAAAATACACAGGCAAAACCTTAGTTTACTTGCAAGGAGAAATTTCTTTCAGGCTATAAGTACAGTCGTTTGCAAAGTTAAATGAATCAGCTTTTTAAATGAATCAGTTGATTCAACTCACTCATTAAGACAGTCACTTGCTGCTGACAGTTGTAGTTTCATATTTTAAAAAGTAGCTTATTTCATTTTTGCAATCATTTAATATTTCTAAATTAAAATGTTATATTTAAACTTAACATTTATGCACAATACATCTATGAATTTTGTTGATCGTGATTTCATTTGATTGTTAATAGCCAGCATGTCTTTTTATTCGATTGAATTTGATTAAATAACCTGACATGAGGACACAGATCTAACTTTTATAATACTAATAAGCCAACATCTCTGGCTTTTTTTTTTTTCAAAGTTATTTCAGGGTTTTGATCTCTCAACTGAGAAAACACATCCTGTTTATTATATTATAATGAATAATTAATATTGCATTTAAACTTTAACTATAGCCTAGACATGTTGCATATTAATTGTGCTATTTATGAACCTCAAATCATATTAGGGCTGCACGATAAATCGCATGCGATATTTAATGCGCATCTTGTCAGTAAATCCCATTCTGTAATCAGCGGTAAATCTCCATCACGTGCATGCTTTCACATGGAGCAGCATTTACTACACAGAGCCATTGTTCATTGACAAGCTGCGCAAAATCACAATTATATTTTGCGCATGTTTTGCGCAGCTTGTCAGTGACATTGTGCAGCCCTAAATCATATGATTGTGTATTTTGTGTTACTCCATAATGATGTTCAGTTTGAGGGCATTTGTATTGTAGGTATAGCCAGGGCCCAAACATAACTTCAAGCCCAAGGGCCCCCGCCCCCTTAAGTCCTGCCCTGTACAGGGAGGTGAGTTTTAATTATGGTTGGAGCTGAACTCTGCAGGGCTGCGGCTCTCCAGGACCGGAGTTCGCCACCCCTGAACTATAGGCTTGTTTGAGATGAACTACACTGATGATCTCAATCAGCTGTGTTAAATAAGGAAGACATGCAAAACATGCAGAGCAGGGGGCCCCTGGGACTGGACAGTTAAGCTAAAAAATATATAGATGGCGTCTGAAAGTTGCGTTTGGTGGTCAGTTTGTGTAAATATTTCTGGCTAACTTTTTGCACTTTTAATGTTATTTCTATTTCTGTCAAACGATTAATCGCGATTAATCACATCCAAAATAAAAGTTTTTGTTCACATAATATATAAGTGTGTACTGTGTATATGTATTATGTATATATAAATACAAACACATGCATGTATATATTTAACGCCATTTCTAGCCACTGGGGGACCATAGGCAGGCTAGGGGAACTCATATTAATGTTAAAAAACCTCATAAAGTGACATTTTCATGCCATGGGACCTTTAAACCGTTACGCTGCCTCAGAAGCTTGTCCGAAATCAGTTTCATTAGGTGCCTTTGTGCAAAAACGCTGCCTGCAAAGTCATTGCGTGATAGCTTAACGCTGGCCGCACACTAGACGATTTTAAGGCCGATTTGCACTTGGGTGGCCCGATTCGAGGCTTGTCGCAAACCATTTTTGTCCAAAAATCCTCTATTGTGTGGTGTCATTACGATTATTTAACTGCTCCTGATCGAGACGGAGCATCCCCGAACTCAAATGTTTGATATTTAGGACTCTTGATTGGGCTGCCTCTGGGTTAAGGCTAGAAGGGATACGTATGGTGCTACTGGGCATGCGCACATCAATACAGTGTAATTTGTCACACTGTATAACAATAATTAAAAATGTTTTAAATTATTGTAAGGGGTCGGTTTAGGGTTGGGGTAGGTGTAGACGTTACTAAAACACAATCTAATAGGTAGAAATTTAATTTCATTGTTCGTTTCCGGTAGGAGCTGTCTCCCTTCTGGCCACAACCCTGCCTCTGACATGATACCCACGATAGCCAATGAGAGTGGCCAAGCGTCACCTACCGGATGTTGCATGCTTCTATAGCTGAAACTTGGCAGCCACAAACATGCCATGAAAGCAGAGAACATTACCCATATTATTTTTTATACTTTGTTTTTCTCTGTGGATCAAAACGCAAATTGTTCTCAGTTCTTCTTCTCAAGTCATATTTGATCTCGCGAGTCTCCGTGAGATCTCGTGTCACTGTGAAATCGTTCCTACAATCATCAAGTTTGGTCTCGTGGTCTGGTCGAATCGTCTAGTGTGCGCATTCAGCGGATTATAAGGCTAAAAATCTGTTGAACTGTCTTCATGTCTGTGGTCTCCTATGGTTTTAAAATCGTTTAAGATTAGAAAATTGTCTAGTGTGCGGCCAGCCTATGGCAGCGAGGCAGCAAGTCAGCTGCCTAGGTTTTCGGTTGTAGCCAAAAATGCGCAGAGCAGGGGGCCCCCAGGACTGGAATTGAGAAATACTGCTATACATTCAGAAAGGAATTAAAAGCAAATACATTTTACAGATTACATACATACAGATTGTAGCGACCTGTGTGTATATGTTGCTTCAAGAGAGTGATTGTATTTTGTACCTTTCTATCATATAAATTAATTAATTAATTCATAATCATTTATCATTTTATTATTCCATTTAATCATGTAGTATTGTACATTAAATTGTCAACAATAAAACTCTCAATATTGAAAAAAAAAATGCTGGGTATCTCGGCAGGACCAAAACAAATGGGAAACTGTTTTAGTGGAACTTTCACAGAAAGAGCAATTTATTTCGATATCACTTAAAATAATAATAACAATATTTATTTATTTATTTTTGTACAAATTGTTTGGTAGGATAGAGTCTATGAATTTTATTGTATGAGTTTCTTAACCATTTGGAGGGATCTTTGAGGCAACAACTTAACCGGAGTTCAATTTGCAGTATTAAAATGATTGTTCCAGTAAATAAATAAAGAGGTACAGATTAAATAAATAAATGAGGATGTAGCTTTATAGTTGTTAGACTTGATATGATGTTAGAATTAATGAATTAATTAATACTGATAACAGAATAACAATTGACTCCTACTATTGAAACCTATTTTCTTTGATATCTTGTCCACATTTCATGCTACTTTGCATGGGCTCATATTTTCTCTTTTCTTTGCATGCCTGTTAGTCCAGTTTGTTCACTATTTCATTATAACATATGGAGCATTTGTTTAAAAACCTTTTCTATTGTAGCTTCATTGTAGCTTCTATTGTAACTTTAAACTTTTCGTTTGGTTGGCTGTTGATTCTCCTGTTGTTAAATTTGGAAACCACATACTAACATTCTACTTTAACTAGATATGGTAAAAATAGTAGGTCTAATAGTATATTAGTACAGCTCTGAATTCAGCCTCTTCCTTTGGCATTTATCTGCTGTAACCACTAGATGGCACTATAATGTTAAGATAAGAACATCACTCAAAGAGCGAGAACCTAGGTCCTACCCAAGCGAGATATATCCAGCTGCAGACCCGCAGCACCCCAATAGTATGTTCAGAACCGCAGTCACAGAACCGGAAGTGAGGGGCGGAGTTATTGACAATGAGAGAGCACGGTGAGTAGTCTGTAATGTTTTTGCGATCATATGTTTAATAATGATCGTATATATTACGTTAAGCATTTATCTGCCAAGTAAATCTTCGTTTTCTTTCCGAATGTCAAATATTTCAGAATGCACAACTTCCAGTGCTTCTTTCAAGAGGTTGATGCTGGTTGAGTTTTCTTTCACCATGTCTTTTATTTCCTCGGATGATTGTTTGATTATTTGAATGATGCTGTGCTGTACCTGACTTAAGGTTAAGTCCTCTGATGCATCTCCTTTTGCGAGCTTCTTCGGCGGCTGTGTTTTAGACGGCATGTTTGGGAAAGAGTCACATTCACCTCCTTTTTTGCTACGGCAAGTGTAGGAGTGTGTGTCGTCAATAAGTCTTTTCTCCGTCATCTTTTGAACCTCAACGTCCATCTCTTCGGGAACTGACAAATCCATGGTAACTCACTCTTCTATAGAATTAAATAAACCGCAGAACTAGCAGTAAACAGCGCGAATTTATGCCAGAATCGCAGTATCACATAAAACGAGTGTGACTTTTTTCTTATATCAACATTAGTAAGACCTACCCGAACTTTATTTTACGCAGCCATGCAAATGCAACTAGTCATGCCGCCATCTTGCGCCAGCCCTCTTTGCCCATTTTCGATTATCCGGGAGTGACACGCAGTGACGCGCTGCCAAGATGGCGACAGCCGGCTCCGCCTACTTTTGAGCTTCAAAAACACTCTTCGGAAACCTACGGGTGACGTCACGGACACTACGTCGATGTTTTTATATAGTCTATGGTCCTACCTAGGGCATAAACACAGACAAAATGATAATTAAACTAGAAAAAAGTTGAGGAACTTATCAAGGAGATAATCAGAAACTAAGGCAACTAAGGAAACAGGAACTGAACGCAGGAAATGTAAACACAAACTAAGAATCCAAAGAACAGAGAAAATGCCTTTATTGTATAGGCTACCACCATCTACACCACTTGTGGATTATGCATAGACAATTTAATGTATTATAATTAATGTGGATAAATCATATTTTCCTAAAAACAAATAACATAATTGCATAATCCCCTGCATACCCTCTCGGAAAGAAAAAAAAAAGTTTCGGAAGCTGTCATTGGGGCGGTACCCTTTCAAAAAGTACACTTTTGTACCTTTTAGGTACTAATATGTACCTTTAGGGTACCCTTTAGGCACAAAAGTGCACCTTTTGAAAGGCACCACTCCAGCGGCAGCTTTTGTAATTTTTTTTGAGAGTGTGTAAGACCAGGGATGTTCTTGCTGTGACATTCTCAGCCTCAGATATCACGCCCACACTGCATTCACTATGTGGTTAGGCAAAGGTCTGACTTCTGGAGACAATAGCTGTGAGGTGACTTTGCTGCCCACTGGGCCACTTTAGCTATATATTTTAGCTCTATATTAAAACAGTTTTGCCATGCATTTCAGAAATGACTAAAAAAATGTCTGTAAAGTCTGTAAAGTTACATTGAAATAACAAATAAAATATAACCTTAAAGGGGTCATATGATGCGATAGCTGGCCAATCAGAGCACACCTCGCTTTTCAGACCGATTAGTTTTGTAAAAATCGACGCGTTTCAAAAAGGCGGGGCATAGAGGAGAAACAATAATGTACAGTATGTGGAAAATAATGTGTTTTTTTTACTTTAAACCGCATAAACACATTTCATTACACCAAATACACCAAATAATGTTCTTTTTAGCAGCATCATATGACCCCTTTAAAAGCAGCAGGCTAAGCAGAGCATGTAGTTCAAATAAATCTTTAACTGTTGTACAAACATGTATATCATACACTCAAGACCTACAAAAGGCCTCTGAGCAGGGTAAAACATGAATGTATTTCTCTGGAATGCATGTGAGACTCTAACAGCTCATTTTGTGAGTCAAAGTAAAACCTGCTGTGGTCTGATCTGTTTAGAAATGTGGTTTGACCATGGTACCAAGAGAACACTAGTCACTAGTCACCAACATGAACTATGACAAGTGTCACATGTTGGTGCAAATGGAGACATTTGAGCTGCAGATCTAAATGCAGTAGTTAAACAAAACACAAACCATGTAGGTTGGTTTGGGTTGTGCTCCAGAGTGTTTTTGCTTTGTTTAATTGACAATAACGGACCACTGATGATAATAAACCAAGAACTGAACCAAAAAGTGAGCATAAATACACAGGACAAAAAGGGGATCTAAGCTAGAAACAGGTGAACAGAATAGATTTTTTTTTTTTTTTAAGCTGGCGGAGAAAGGGTTAATAGAAGATGGATAAACATATTCAACCAACAAGTGCTTGAGTGGTGCATTGGGTGGGTGGTGGTCAAATCCTGTGGGGAAAGAATCATGCGCAGCACTATTACTATCACAGTTTAAGACTGATGGTTTACCATCTGTCACAGAAGTGTTCACATATTTCAAGCGCTTTTATTTGACAATGGTTAACAAGTTCATTTTGTTCTGCTTGTGGCATCTGTTTGGTAAGTTATGATCGTATTCTTAATTTGTGTCAGGTTAATAAGTAGGTCATGAACTACTTTTTAGCCAGGTGATTTACATTGTTTGTTAGACCTACATAAACGATGCTGCAATCAAATAAAAATGCATTTTACTGATTTGAACCACAAGCGAAAAACCACAAGATTGAAAAAACACAGCAGAATCTGTTCTTGCCACATTTGAATATTGATGATCAGACATCAGCTAAACATTTATTTCTTGAAAAAACAGGATGGGGAGTAAATGATGACATCATTTTTATTTTTGTGTAACAATCTAAAAAAACAGAAAATAAGCTATGTAAACCATGCAATCACCTTTTAAGTTGTTTTACTTCCAGTTAAAATGATTCAGAGGGGAACTGAATGTACAGTACCGTGCTTCCCACTAGTTCACACTGCATTCTCAAAAATAATCTGCAATGTAAGATCACTGTTAAAAACTAACTTGCTCTGTCCATTTAGTCCATTTGCTCTGTGTGTTTGGCTTCCTATAACCAATCATTTTCCAGAGTAGGGGCACTAAAGGGGCCAACTGAGGGACTGTATAATTAACAGTCTTCTACTGTTCTTTGGTCTTTGTTTTACATTTGAATGGTTTAAATCAGTTATTTTATTTAAACAAAGTTATTAACCCTTAATCTTTGACAAACTCTGTTTTCCAGGTGTCTTTGGTGTTGATGTGGATGGAATGGAGTTGGTATCAGTGAAGGAGGGAGATTCAGTGACTCTAAATTCTGGTCTTACTGAAATGACGGATGAAGATCTGATTCTGTGGAGGTTTGGATCTGAAAACACTTTAATAGCTCAAATCAATGTAATGGCCGGCAGCATCACTGTATATGATGATGATCTTGATGGGAGATTCAGAGACAGACTGAAGCTGAATGATCAAACTGGATCTCTGAGCATCACAAACACCAGAACTGAACACGCTGGACTCTATAAACTACAGACCAACAGTGTGAGCAAGAGTTTCAGTCTCACTGTCCATGGTGAGTTATCAGTTTCACATTTTACTACACTTTTAAAGGTTCTGGATCTTAAAATTTCAATTATTTTCACCTTCAGTTATTAAAATGACTAAATCATTTCAACATTTACGCAAATGTAGAGAGAGGACTGACCATGTTATAGCAATTATCATACTTGTTGGCTTGGGTCGCTAAAAGTGCATTCACTCTCTCGCTCTCTCTTTCTCACACACACACACACACACACACACAGTCTGATCAGCTATCCTTGTAGGGACTCTCCATAGGCGTAATGGTTTTTATACTGTACAAACCGTATTTTCTATCGCCCTACACCAACCCTACCCCTTACAGGATTGGAGCTAAACTCTGCAGGACACCGGCCCTCCAGGACCGAGTTTGGACAGCCCTGCCCTAGCCTGTCTAATTTCTAGTCACTTCAGATAATCTTAATTATCAATGAAATTTACAAAATATACTACATTAACAACTTTTTTGTTTGTTTTTTTTTACTTTGAGAAATGATAACGTTCCCTCCACTCAAGCCTCCTCTTCCTTCGAGTGAACACCTGTTTTTGCACACTGCCTCCCAGTGGTTTAAGCTCAAAATGCACTTTTACGTTCTGGACCCCTTTTGCACGTCTCCTTTGTCCGAAACACCCATTTCAGGTCTTTGAGTCCTTGGGAACAACTAATTAGAGTTAATAGCTACTTTCAGTAGCCTATCAGTATCAGTATTGATGAGACATACACTGACTGACTGACTGAAGGTGCAATAAACACGCTATTCTGATTTATTCTTTCTTCTCTCATATTTCCAGCTCCTCTGGCTGTTCCTGTAATCAGCAGTAACTCTTCATCAGCAGCAGCAGTAGTGCCAAAATGTGAACATCCTAACATCACTGAACTCTGTAAGACACATGCAGGTACGTCAATGCTTGCTGTTACCAGACTCCTAAACTTTTAAGATGCCAATAGTTATTAAGCAAAAAGCAAAAAAAACTAACAAAAAAACAACTTCTGTTCTCATTTATTCTAAGCAGATTTGAGTTTTTGCAGATAATATTCTTAAGATTCTTGTAATTGTGAGTTCCTAAAAGAGACTGTTTAGAAATACAGGTCTGTTTTATCATTTTATTTATTTATTTGTTTTTTCCCAGAAGTTCACGTCCACGGTTGTGATGCTGCTGAAGCAGTGATCCGATTGGTCGTCACTGCTCTGATGGGCGTGGCTGCTGCAGCTGCTGCTGTTCTTCTGGTCAATGACGTCAGATCAACAAGAGGTTGAAAGAAAACAGAACAGATTAAAGATATTGTGACATATATTGGAGTTTTAATCGTACAGATGAAAATATGTGTTGTCCAATTGTTTAGTTATGGCCAAACGAAGCTTTGCTCTCCATCTAGTGGCCAAAATGATGAATATGCTTTAATATTTCATTTTTATAATGCCATCCATTTTATCATCATCGTCAAAATGTGAACATCTTAACATCACTGAACTCTGTCAGACATATTCTGGTACGTCAGTGGTGATATTAGCGGGGTTTTTTTCTTTTACCAGCCTGATAACTTTAAAGATGCCAGAAATGTATTAAAGAAATAATTAATCTAAAAATGAAACTACTCATTCCAAGTAGATCTGGGGTTTTGCAGATATCTTTTGCCAATATTTGTATCTTTATCATTTTGAGTTCCTGGCAGAGATGCTGAACAGCTCCCTTTTATCATTGCTCTTTTTGTTTCTTCAGAAGTGCACATCCGCTGTTGCGATTCTACCGAAGCTGTGATCCGATTGGTCGTCACTGCTCTGATGGGCGTGGCTGCTGCAGCTGCTGCTGTTCTTCTGGTCAATGACATCAGATCTACAAGAGGTTAAAAGAAAACAGATAAGACTTCATATACTGAACTAAAAATATTGGGATATATCTTGGAGTTGTATTCTGTATTCTAAAGATAAAAATATGTGTGGTCTAATTGTTTAGTGACTGTAAAACGAAGCTTTGCTTACCAATACTCTATTTTGGATCGTAAAAGCTTCATTACCCGAATTGTTTCAATATGGTGTAGCTACATCAGGGCCCTCTGGTGTCCAAAACGATGAATATTCTTCAATATTTAATTTTACTCTGTAGTGGCATCTTTATATGGCTTTATTAATTAAACTCCTTTCTTCTTCTTCTTCTTCTTCTTCTTCTTCTTTTTCTTCTTCTTATTATTATCATGCTTACTTTTTTTTAGCAATACTACAAATGATTTGGATGTAGCCTAATTCTAAATGTAGAAATATGTCATGCCAAATAAAGCACCTTCAACTGAAAACCACCTACTGAACTGATGTAAATCTATGAACCATATAGGTCCTATACTTACATAATAAAATTGTAATTTTTTTCTCATGCAGATGAATACATATGATCAGGAGCTGTTTTCCAGCTCTAATTAAGCCTACATTAACCGTTCTTAATTTTTTGTGTGTCCTGTGTTAATGAAGTACATTAGGTCTTAAGTTTCTCCAATCCTTATTTCCCTTTTTTTTTTTTTTTTTTGAAAGTATGTACAGAATATGCTTCTTTTAACATGAAATCTTTACATGAGAATATAATTTGCTCAAATAGTAATCATTTATAGCATTTAAATATACCTTGGCGCGCAACAACCCAAACTCGTAAAATTGAAAATTAAAATGAGAGACAATTATCCGTTTGTAAATTGCTCCAAAAAAATTTAAAATGAAAGTTTGAAGCCAACTTTTCATTTGGTTCATTTTGATGGTGCGAATTGAACAAAGAACTGCAAAGGGTTACACGGACCAAACTGTGGGTCATATTAGTAGGGTTACAAATATAAAAATTTAAATCAACCCAAAATGTATTGGTCCATGGCGGATGATGTCCGGATCGCATTCATACTTAACGAGATTTGGCTGTACCTACTCTTTTAGCGCTCGTTAAGTAAGTACTTAATGAAATTGAGTAGGCGGTTTCGGACGCAGCCAATGGGTTTTTTGAATGGGAGTTTGGTTAAATACCCCAAAATAAGGTCTGTGGTTCACACAAGCTCAAGATACTTTCACGTTTTATTCTAGGACATAAAACACACCAGTTACACCCCACTCGTGATTTTTTAAAAACTGTTATGTTTCTTTAAAAAGACATTGCTAACAAGTTGCTAAATGGGACTACAGGCGCTGTCGGAGCCA